AACCTTTTGACGTCAAACGCTGTTTTCTGTGCAAACTTAAAACAACAACATCCGCTCACACTGACGGGAGAAGGGCTTTCCCTAAAGGTTAGGGTGACTTCACCTTCTTGCCTTCTGTAACGCATCAGTTTAGGTAAAGCGAATAAAAAATACCTTTTATAATTACGCACGCATGCGTCTGTTTTAAAAGACCAGACCGGATTGCGCAGATTGCTCGATGATAATCCCCACAAATCTCATGGGCGACGCTGTGAAGTGACCTGCGGCACAGATAGCACGTGACACAATGAGCGTGCAGTTCTTCGTCGTTTTGCATGACTTTTTCATTTGTCTTATATCGTCATGTGACGTGCCTTTTCCTTTGTGTTGGTTTCTCTCTTTTAACGTGAGTTCATCTTACAGTTTGTCCCCTCTCTGTCGTGCAGGCTGTGGGTCCCGGAAACCCTGAAAGCGTGCCGAACTCTGTGCAAGGCTTCCCCCGAGTTTGCCGTCCCCGAGGTGGGGGGGGGGGGGGAGCTCCGTTTTCCCCACACAGCCACGAATTCCCTCTCAAGGTAAGAGAGAAACAGAGAGAGCGCGAGGAAAGGGAGGAAAAGGGCCGCAAGAACGTGCTGATGCACTAAATCCAGCCGCCACACGCACCCCCCATCCCCGAGCTTTCCCCCACGTCCGAAAACGAGCAGTTTTGTGTTTATTAGACCCATATTTCGCACCCTAAAAAACATGCCGTGCAGCTGCAAAGAGACAACCGGGCAGGCGAATAGTTTACAGTTGAGAGATTCCACATAAAAAAAAAGGCTCCTGACAGCTTTTATCGGCCCTCCGTGTATTTAATTGTCTCAAAGATCAATGAAATGTGCTGACCCCGACGCGGCGCGTTTCTGTCAGCACTGAGCACGACTTCGTTTCCAGCAGTCAGTCACATTCAGATCTCCAGCCCCGAACCCTGCACCCTGTGGTGGGAAACTTTGTTTGCACCTTTCCTCTTTTGTTTGGACTTCATTTATTTCTATTGGCACATCTTTGCTCGCATGTAAGCAAACGCAGACGCAATTACAATTGCAGATAAAAATGGTAAAAAACACACTCGCTGTTTGTAGCCAAAAAACACGATGCTTTGGTTGATGTTTATCTGGATTGTGAAAGCCCCGAAAGTCCCGGACGGAGCAAAGAGGGGGCGCGGCCCCCGGAGGCTCTGGATGGCGGTGGAGGGGGACCCCAAAAGCTGTTGGGCTGTTTTAGCATCTCCCCCTTTATCTGCTGACCGAGCTGGTTCCGTTTGGCCCCGTTAGTCTCACACAAACTTTGGGATGGTGACGTGATCAGCACGCCAGTTGCGTTTTTTGTGTGTTTAGTTTTTTTGTGGAAAAAAAAAGTTGTGTGGGTTATAATTTGGGGGCTTTTCATTGCTTCTTTATTAAAGGGGGGGGCTGGCCCCTCGTACGCAGCGGTTGGAAGTGCTGTATGCTTGAATGTCTGCGGTTTGCCTCTTGTTATTATTCCATGCTCTGGAGGCCTCCCACTTCTTCTTCCCACACCTAAGGGAATCCCTCGCTACTGTAAGACAAACCAAAGTGGGTAGAGGTGTTCCCTTTTTTTGAGGGAAATTCGCCTTTAGTCAATATTAGCTGTTGTTAAACTGCCTGCTCTGTCGTGGGTCTGTTTGTGTTTGCTCTGCTTTCAAAATTTCTAATCCATTTGCCTCAGGACAAACTACTTATCTCTTCTTTAATTGAGCTCGTGCTTTTAAACATGTCTTAAATGGCTGGAATTAGCCTGAGCTGAAAGACTGGGAGCATTTTATGACGAAGTGATAAACCTGAGCTTTCTGCAGCAACATGTTTTCACATCACCATGTGCACCCCCCCAGCCCCCCCCCCCACCCATCCCACCAAAAAAACAAATCAAACTGATCGCTCCAATCAAAACAAAGAGAAACAAGTCTGATAACTTCACCCAGTCCCGTTTAATGGATGTTCCATAATAATAATAATTATAAAAAAAAATTCAAACAAAAACAAACCAAAATAAAAACAGAAAGGGAAAGTGCTTCAGAAATCCACCGTTCAAGTTTCCATTTCGAGTGCAGTTGTCCTGTGTATATTCACAACAAAATAAAATCAATATACAAGAAACCCCGTAAAATTCACAAAAATAAATATTCAGTTTCATATAAACAACCAGTGACTTCAAATTCCGCGTCAAAAAAACCTGACCTCAAGTATGCTGTATCAAAAAAGCTAAGTCAATGAACAAAACCAGGAGGACG